GGAAACAGGATTTTAATGAGCTACAGACATTTCATGCTTATTGCGAGTGTTGCTGCAGGTTCGAGATACCGAGGTAAGGCTTGGACAGTTGGAATTAAATGCAAGGAGCTGTAGGCAACTGCGACATAGCTCTTTATTCCAGCAAGGGCACAACCCAACTTGCAAGGTGGCGGCATCTTTACATACACAGGTTAAACAATAGTGGCACACTGCCAAGTTATAGAAGCCTGCACCTGCCTACCAGGCACATGGTTACATAAGGGGAGAAGTGCTGACTCACTTCCACTAGGAAGTTGCTAAGGGTGTCCGGAGGGAGCCTGACTGCAGCCATCTTTCTCACTTGGGGGCATCATTCACATTGTGCACATCACCAGGTGAATGGATAAGGAGCTGGGGCTGACAAATGGTCTCGCGCTGTATGGAATGGTGAGAACCCCACAGGAAGGGCTATTCATAATAAAGCTCTATGGCTCTAACTTCCCCTCCCCTTAGCTTCCTTTGCCCTTCTGTATATAGCCCTCCCACTTGGCCTGCAAGCTGAGTGTGAGCCTGGCTTGCCACGTCCACATGCACTGGGTTGCAACCCTTTTCTTTTTCCCCAAATAAATCCTTTTTGGTGAGGAAAACACCTAGCTGATATTATTTTTTAGTTGACATGTTGCAGAATATTCAGACCGGAGAGAAGCCAAGCACCCGGAGAGTTGGAGAACTCAAGTTTATTATGCCGGAGGTCCCAGAAGAGCTAGTGCTCTGAAGATTTGGGCCACAAGCTCGGGGTAAACTTACTTTTATAGGGCTTATCTGTGCAGTTAGTTTTACAGTTGGCATGGGCTGATTGGTTAATTTGCTCTCAGGCAGTTACAGAGCATGGGAGTTGCTATGGGCTACTGGGTGCCAGAGTTGCTATGGGTTACAGCAGGTGGGGGGAATTGCCATGGGCTACAGGCAGTTACAGGAGATTTTCAAACAGGAACTTAGGCAATACATCTGTTATCTAGACAGAACAAGCAAAAGGAGAGGATGAGTCTTTAGCTACTCTCGAGGTCACCCTACCCTTTGGCCTATGTGGCAAATATATCTACAGAAGCAGAACAAAGAGCTGTTTACAAAGTTAACCATTTAAGTGAAAAATTCCTCTCAGACACACCCAAAGCACCTCAAATCAAAGAACCCATGTCCTCTCGGCAGAGGTGGTAGGAGAGCCCAAGCAGGTACTCCACCAGCGGTGGCCTCCCACACCCCCTTACCCCATCACCCACCTCCCTCACCTGCCGCCCTGCACGTGGGCCGCCGTCCATAACCACCAGGGGCCTCAGGCACCAAGACGGCACAGTCAACCGCTTTCCAGCGTCCACTCAGCTAGTGACTCCAGTTGTAGTCGTGGGCCAGTGCCAACAGGTACTCACCAGTGGAGATGCACTGCTTTCTCACTAGGACAATGCAGTGCGGTGGTCGCCCAACCCAGGGACCCCATCTCAGATCTCTCCCAGAACGGATGCTAGGTCAGCAGCTGCCACAAATCACATGCTAGACAGCGCGTGCTGCAGATGGAGTGCAGGGAAGATTCCAGAAGGCACACGCTGCACACATGCTCAGGAACGGCATTCTGGGCATACTCCTGGACCACCTGGCTGTCTGGCTTCTGGAGCAAGCACAAAGGGTGCAGCGTGCGTGGGGGCGTCGTGTGGGTGAATGGGTGCGCACACAGAGAGCAGGACAGCGGCTTGCTGACCTCTGCTGGTCTGCGGGAGAAGGTGTGTTCCTTTTGTTGTCCAGACATAGCCAAATTGCATTGTCCATCCAAGTGAATGTTCTATTGTCTGTTAAATCACCTCCCGCCTCGCCCCGTGAGGCACTCCAGTCTCTTGTGTGCTTGGACCCTTCCGCTGTACACAAAACCATCTTTTCCCCACCTCCCCGACCGCCCACTTCCCACCACCAACCAAAGCCAGACCCCCATGTGCTGCTGGGACTTGTGGTCTCCGGGGCCAGCCTATCCGTTTGTCATCCCCTTTGGCACTTAATAGGGTTGAAGACCACTCCATTTTACAGCATTTGAGAGCAATGCTTGATTTGCATCCAGCCCGTGTCCATTTTACTTATGGAGTGCCTACTGTGTGCAGAATACCTTGCTAAGATTGGCGGAGGATAGATGAGCTCATGCCCCGGCCCTCGTTCTCACTTTAGCTAACGCAGAAAGACGAACTTGCAAGGTAGCATGTAATGAACTGAAATCACGAATTATGAGTGCTATTGGAGGTCACGGAAGGGCCAGAGTCAGGAAAACTTCCTGGAAGATGTTGGGTTTGAATCAGCATTTGAAATGTGGAATGCTCTAGATTATGGGGAAGTCGCAAAAATCAAAGGATGGAAGTGGCTGGGAGTAAAAAGAAGAGATCGATCTGGTGATAGTCGCAGGTTTCCGTAGGGGCATGGTGAGTAGGGCTTAGGTGGGAATTGGACACAAGAGTCTTTTGGCCTCACTTTTAGAAAGTGAACCTGATCTGGATATAGATAAAACTGGACAGAAATAAAGTGATCTGAGGGATATGGAGAAACATGCCTGCATACGTGCATTCACATACACACTTCTATTATTAGTTAGGACTGACCTTATGTGATTTCAAATCTTAATAAAAATCATAACTCTTTTTCCATTGGTGATTTGTTGGAAACATAATCCTGAGAAATTGTTCTTAAATAAAAGTCGATTGCAGCACAGGGTCGAGGTTGAATCAGAGGGCAATGAGCCTCTATGAGCTTCAAACAATGTGTCTTTTAAAGACGTAGAAGGGCCCAGGGTTGGAGCTTTCCTCCACTTACTCTGTCTTCTCTTCCAATCTTAATTCCTCCAATAATTTTAGTCCAGTTTGGAAGACTTGATCCATTTTGCCTCTCGGAAAATGTATGAGCATCTACTCCTGCTTTCTCTCTCTGCCGTTTGTTGCTTGTGCTAGGGTATTGTGTATCTGAAGAGCTGGCATCTACTTTGAGAGGTAATGTAAGAGTTTTCAGTCTTTACAACATTATGTTTCTTTCCCACCCCTCACGCCCATAGGCATGGGACCTAATAATTCTAGAAAATTGATGTGTAGTTATTATAATAGCACCTGCATGTTATTTCAGTGATCTCATGGTTAAAGGAGACCAGAACCATAGATTAGATTAGTTCTTAGAAGGAGGCATAACTCTTGCCTGGGGCACACACTGACATGGGCAAATGAAGTCACATAGTGAACACTATTGATTTTTACATGGCCAGCTACTAATTTCCTATGTATTCTGGTAAGACCATCTTGATTGGTCCACTGGCCAACTATTTCTCGCCCACTCTCTGTGGTCCATCTTCCTAGCTCCTGGTGTGCTCGTGTTCCCCAGAAAGGCCAATTAACGTACTGCATCACCCTGGCTACATCTATCGATTTAGGAATGGACATGTAAACCAAGACCAAGCAACGTGAGTCCGTCTAAGGATTTTTGTTGCAAGGATCAGTGCAAGCACACTGTTTCAGCCTAAGATTCTGGTGGGTATCTCTCTAGCACATAAAGAGAACCAGCCTGAGAACAAAGTCTATACAAATAGAAAGTGGCACCTCAACCTGGAGAAAGACAGATTCCCAAAGCCATAATTTGAGTATCTGGATCTACCCATGCTTGAACCCATTATAACCCTAGTGTTTTCAGTTATGTAAGGAAATTGTTAGTCCATAGAAGTCTTAACTGACTTATATAAACAATAATATACATGGAGACACTTTAAAATGGAGCCAGAGCTGCCATCTCAAAGGACCTGTCTTGCACAGTCTTATACTTCAAACCTTTGGTTTGTTAAAACAGGGCAAAATAACCTTTGGACAGGCCTTAAGCAACTTTATATCCCAAAGAACTGTTTGCAAAAATAGCAAGAAAGCAGATATTATGACTATTAGACTGATGACTACTGCACTGAAAATTAAAAACATTGTATAGAATTAGCTGTGTTCACGTCTCTGCACCTATAGAAATTCCTTCCTTCTATTGATACAATTGTTCCTTAACTCTTTTTCATAAATACCCATTGCCTTTGTCTTCTAATTGGAACACAATTTTGGCTTCTGCATAATCAGTGCATTCCAAATAGCTATTCTCATTGATCTCAAATAAATGCTTGTTGTCTTTCACTTTGAAAGGCCTTTTATTTTTAGGGTAACACTTAGAAAGCCAGGCATGAAAGATGAATGAATCTTGTACTTCTAGGGAGGAAGAAATCCTTTAATTCATCAATGTTTCCTCCTTAGCTCCTTAGAAAATGGGATTATGTTCTCCCCATTTAAAGAAATAATTGAATGAAAGCTTTCTAATGTCCCTTGATTACTTTCTCTTCTGCGAAGGAAAGCAAGTTAAAAATCTGACTATTGTGTGACCCATTTGTCAGTTTACTGGGGGACAAGTTTACTCAGCTTCAAAGCAGACACATTCACTTCTGTTTTCTTGTTGGCCTACCTGCTCTCAAGGGCAGCGAGTGTCCACCTTTTACAGAGATCCCAGCATTTTAGATATCACTATGTGCTTGCCCATCCATTGTATTGCACTAATACCAATTTTCTGGTTTTGATAATGTACTATATTTATATTACCACTGGGGGAAGCTGGCTGATGGGCATATGTGGGAACTCTTTCTACTATTTTTTGTGACTCTAAAACAATTTCCAAAAAAATGTTTTTCTAAAGAAAATGTCTTGGACATGACTTCAGATGAAATGAGATAGATCTTAGGGTGAGTGGAGCTATAGCCACACATGCCCATTTATGGGGAGATGTTGTCATTGATGGCTTCTGGTTTCCTGAGTTAGTTGCAAGAAGGAAACTGTTGTGGAACCCCAGAGTGTCAGGACCAAACATCTCCCCATACATCCTGGGGATAGAGTGGCCAGTTGGAGAGCTAGTATCACCCTGATCCCCTCTCTTCCTTTGAACCGTAAAACTGAAGACAGAATCTTGGTCCAGGTGGAAGGGACGCTATGATCACAGGATTCCTGACCCTGTTTTGCCTCGGTGAGTCTCCAGGTCTGGGAAGGATAGATGAGAAATTCATGGCGGAGTGGGGGTTAATATGGAAAACGGGGCAGGAGCAGAAATGATGACTTCTGTATATTGAATACATGCCACCTGTCACAGTTTCGTAGGCTGTGATATACCCATGCTTGCACAAAGGAGATGAGGAACCCAAGGTTCAGAGATGTGTAGTAAGTAACACCCTGTTTACTCAGCCAAGAAATGCAGAGCTCATATGAGATCTCTATCTGTCTCTTCTAAACACCAGTCTCGCCCTGAATGTTCCCTTGGGCGGCGTCTACAGGGTGTGAAATGCTGTGGGTTTGGGTACTAACCAGAATACAGAGAACAATGCCTGGGGATGATGGATAAAAAAATTTCCTGATTCACCCAATCCCCAGTCTGATTTTAATCATGCTCATCTTAAACATAATATAATCGAACAGACCTCAGCCTATAAAGAAGATGGCCTGGATTATAATCTTGGGTTGGTCTCATAGAAGCTCTTGGCTTTGAACCAGCAGCTCCACCCCATGAAGTTCCATATCCTCTTTCGTGAGTCGGGGTGTGGAGGGAACATCAGGACTTATCATGTACCCCAGTTCCTTCCTCCTCCTTCTGAGTACAGCCCTTCTCCTTGGGGTAATGCTCTTTTTACACACATTTGAACTTTAGAGGTGGCTGCTGTCGCTGTACCCCAGACTTCCAGCTGCAGGGCAGAATATGCTGGGCAGTCAGAGACTGGCCTCATCCTCCCCATATTCATTCCCTGTACCACAAACCCTCTCCCTTTGAATGAGGGAGGAAACCCTATTCCCACACTGCACACATAACCATTGTATTAAGTGGTAAGGATAAACATTGCCATCTCAGAAAACATGAGGGAAAAATATAGGTAAATGTTCAATGATTTCTAGACAGCAAAAGAAAGAGTAATCATGAAAGCTTTGTTACAGTTCCCAATGTGATAAATCAGAAATGGTTGCTGGAAAGTTGTACACAATCATAACTTCTGAAGGACAAACAATGGGACGGAAGTAAAAGGTAAAAGTAAACCCAGGGAAGTACCTGTGAGGAATAGGGCAGATCTTTAACAAATTAGTTGTGTGTTCTCTGCCTGCTTTGTACTCAAAGACAAGCACATCCTTCATCTCTCATGAGAGTTTCTCTTCCAGGGCTTTGTCTGGGCTACGAATATGAGCAAAAGAATGGTGAGTTGTCTCCCATGTACACTTTGTTCCTACATCCCAAACTTCATGATTTTTCCCCTTTAATCCTTGGAATTCTAGGAGAATGCTTGTGGTCATCAAGATGAAGAGTCAAACTAACTCTGAATTATTTCCAGAGAAACTTCCCAAACCCTCCCTCAACGCCCTGCCTGGATTTATGGTTGAACGCGGTAGTAACGTCACCCTGAAGTGCCAATGTAAGCTCCAGAATGTGACATTCATGCTGGGGAAGTTGCAGGACTCTGGATACAAGCAGGAACGGAGTTCAGCCGGACACGATGCTGAATTTCTCCTCACAGACCTGGAGCCTAAGGATGCTGGAATGTACTTTTGTGCCTACAAGACAACAGGCTCCCACGAGTGGTCAGAGAAGAGTGAACACCTGCAGCTGGTGGTCACAGGTGAGAAGAGCAGTCTCAGGTTTGCTCTTTGATGCACCTTTTCCTTGTCCTGTGATCTGGCAGGGGAGGAAGAAATCCAAGAAATAAAAAGACAGATGCAATACCTTG